AAAAAATTTTAGTTGCATTATAAATATGTTTTTAAGCACATTTTTATCTCTTGAACTACCTTTTTTCTTACATATATTACATCACAAAAAGTATTATATATAGCATTAAAATATATGACAATATACAGGGTAGAGATTTTGTAATAATAGAACTCTTATTTGAATAAATAAATATTTTACTTTGACTGTATAGATGCACACCCTCTACTTTTAAACTGAACACACTTTGAGATTTGCTTCTAGCATGCAACAGCAAAAGGATAATTTTGTTTATTTTTCATTCTTGTGACACGTAATGTGAAGAACGTCTCATGCAAAATTGTTTTATTCTATTCTTGTATGTTTAGGTACCTTGACAAAATTATTTTATTCGTGCATGTAAGTCTATTCTTTGTTGCGAATATTTCCTCACCAATTTTTGTGGCTTCACCTGTCTGTTAGTAAAGAAGAGAGAGAAAGGCCAAATCAGAAGTCCATTCTTTCACTATTTCAACCAGGAGCTTCAAATTTGGCTTCCAAAAAGCATAGACGTATTCCCTTTGACTAAAATGAATAAGATATTCAGGTTCCTGATTCTCTCTCTCTCTCTCTCTCGCTTATTTTTTCTGCTAATCTTCCCGAACTATGACAATATAATTTGATAAGAATACTTTTCAGAGGAAGAAAATATCTAGTTGCAGGTCTCCTCTGCAAGACTGTAGTGAAACTCCTCTTTCACTCCGACAATGACGTCGAGGCACGGCTGTTTGTTTATAATTCAACAGGCATTACCCTCCGATGACATTCAACGAATTAATGTTCGTGCATTACTCAGGGGTAAAATTTAAACAATTCAACTAAAAGTAAAATAATAAAAATAAAATAGCCAACTAGAAATTAAATAACAATTTACTAAAATCAAATGAGTGATAATTAAGGATCTAGCCAAGGAATAACTTCAGCAATGGTGCACCTAATTGATCATTGAAGTAAAGGCAATTCCAATTATTTATCAATAAATAGGTTATAACTACCAAACAAGCGATGGCAGTCAACCCCTCCTTACTGTGTCGGTGATCAAGGTACGCCGTTAATCACTGCCCTAATTGAGAAATAATCCTAGGTACGCCCGTAGAATTTAATTCCCCAATTGCCTTACGTATTAGAGGAGCCCTTTTCTAACCAAATAACGCACTACCAGGGTTATTTTAGATTAGCCCGCGTATTCCCCTGACACAAATCCAATCATGCCAGTTATCACTATTTTGAGACAATTAAACAATTACTGATTTAACGTCCCAATTGACAATAGATTATCCAATTAACTAATTATCCGGATCCAAGACAATCAATCAACTAAATAATCATAAGCACTGTAACCAGAGAATATGCGAATACCAATAAATAAAAGAAAAATATTAAATTAAATCGATCTCACAATTTTTAGGCGAACCAGAGCCTTCGTTGCTCCTTGACTAGAGTGGTGCAATTAGTTCATGTTCGATGAACAAAGCCCATACAAAAGTGGAAAGAAAGCAGCGGCCATCTCCCTAATTGAGAAAAGTTCAAACCGTTCAATTGGCGAAGGAAAACGTAAAATACAGAAGATGAAGAAGTTCTCCAATGGCTCCTGACATGCGTAGGAGGAATCCACTAAAAATCAAAAGGAGAAAGTCCCAAAACAAAAGCTAAGTAAAAGGTTCTAATTGCGCCTGACATACCAAAAGATATAGCTACTATATAGCTAGCCAGGAAAAGTCAACCAAAAACTAAGCTAAGTTTTCTTTTGCTCCTGCCATGCCCGCAGGAGGTTTCCTACTCAAAGGCCTCAAAGGAAAAAATCAAATGCTAAGCTCCGAACTGTCCTTTTATTCTGCACAATTTTCCTCTATATAGTCCTGCTCCTTGCGGCGGCTCCTAGGGAAAAGAACCCTTGGCCAAAATGATCGAAAAGGGCTTGTGTCCCTTTTTTCCAAAAATACCCTTGCAAGCCTTCTATTTTATTTCTTTCCCAATGACTGTCAAAATAGCAGTGATTGTGGTATTTTTTATCTACTCCCTAAAATAAGTGCAAATTATGAAAAGTGAGTAGAATCCAGCAATTAATCCACATCAGGTCTGGTAATAGGGGAAATTAATAATAAAATAAATAGTAAAATTGCAGCCTATCAATTCCCCCCACACCTAAATCGTGCTTGCCCTCAAGCATAAGGAAAATACACAGACACCAAAATTTGATAATGGTCATTACTCTATCTACCAAATTGCCAAGATATCAAGAAAAATCATATATCGAGCACTAGTGATCAAAATCCGAGAAGCATCCCCCCAGTTAGCCTCTAAACTACAAACTCCTTCAATTTCCAAATTAGCTAATCTAAGAAAAAGGAATGGCACATAACATTTATCAGCAAACAATCCAAATATTAACCAAAACCTCCATATTCAGTCCATAAATCGGCAAGCTGACCTCTAACATACTACATAACCTGCACTTTTCTGTTTTTTTTCATTTTTTCATCTTTTTTTCAATAATAACAACAATAACACAAAAAGACTTAGTCTCTAGCCGTTGGAGTCTTTTGACGCGAACTCCAACATTTTTAGATGAAGGAACCCGGTTACTCAACTCCTACCGCTATACGACCACATACTTATAGAAAGCACTACCTTTTGATGCGAGAATCGACACTTTTAGGTGCAGATCCCCGGTTATTCAGTAGTAACTAATAGCGGAGTATAGTCAAACTTATTCACAGCCAAACAACGGAAAAACGCAAAATAACAACACCAAAATCCAAGCATAGGAGCAGCTCGCCTCATTATTGCCAAACATGGAGAACTGGAGTCAATATCGGACCAGTTCACATTAAAACGCCAACAGTCATTCCCTATGCCTAGAAAAGTTAATCAAAGAAATCAAAAGAGTCAAGCAGTCCGATATTCACCAAGGAGATATCTTGGACTCAACCACATTAACCCGATACATTTTTATTTTAAAAACTCTGGCAAAAGTAGAATTAGAGTCAATAAACCAACATCCAATTTTTGGCATTCACATAAGAGATAAGCACCAAGAAGAAAGAAAGAAAATGAGCAACTAGAAATAAAACTAAAAACTACTAAAAACTAAAAACACTAGCACCCCATTAGACCCCTCCCCCACACCTATAGGACACATTGTCCCCAATGTGACAAATAAATGACAAAAGTGGGAGAGAGAGCAACCAAATTTCCCTGAAGCCGGGTCAAAATGGTGGGCGAGGTGGAAATGGAGGAGCGAAACCCGTATGAAGCAGAAACTGCGCCAAATTCTGCGCCATGCCGGCTACATTGGCGTCGATGTTGACCCAAAGTAACAACAACCCCAACTCACAGTCGAAAGTAAACTCAGTCCAACTAGAGTTTCAACAAATATCCCCAGAAATTTCACCAATTGCCAGAGCGAAACAAAGCAGTAGTAAAGCAGTAGCCTCAAGTATTAACCCAGTCACAACAAAGATTCGAAACTTCCAAAAAGAGGCAACAGAGGACTAGAATTCCAAGGAACAAGGCAAGTAAAGGAGCCGTAGGTGGAATTCAGTTCACTGAAGTCAACAATCAATCCAGGGAACAAATCAATCCAGATAGGAGGCAGAGGCTTGCACAATTAATTAGACCCACAATCATAGATAAAGCTCTTTCCAAATCAATGATGTAAATCAACAGGCAATTGAAATAGACCCCCGTGAAATCAGAACTGGAATCGATGGACAGAACACCCCAAACAATTGAAATAAATTTGCCCAATTTTAACAAGCAACTCAAATGTCACAAATGCCACCCAATCCAACAGGCCGTTGCAAACCCAAAAGAGTAGCTCAGAAATTTAGAGATTTATCACCTCAGTCACAAGCAATACCCCAAAATTAGCAGCAGTTCAACCAAATAGGCCAATGACCCCCAACACTACGCTAGAGCACGACCAATTCCAACAAGTGTGTGAATCAAACAAATAGGGGCAGTAATACTAGAAATTGAGAGATAAAAGCTAGATACCTCCACCAGTACCACGTCGGGCGGCGGACAGAGCAGCGGGCAGCGGTCAGCGTGCGTTCGTGGCTTTGGGAGGCAGCGGCGGCGTGGTCTCGCGCTAGGGCCTCTGGGTCTCGGCCAAGGAAGAACAGCGGCGCAGGGTTGGTCGTTTTGCTGGAGGTGCGAGGAGAGAGAGAGACGATGGACAGTAGCTCGCGACCCACAGGTGGAGGGTGGCGGCGGCGGTCGTCCTGTTGCGGGCGACGCGTGCGCGGTCAGTCGCGACTGCTCGAGTGACCGAGAGGGAGAGAGAAATGCAAGAGAGGTCTGCGGTGGTGGGGGGGATAGTGAGACGCGCACGGGGGCGGTGGAGATGGCGGTGGAGCACGAAGCTTCGGGCGTCAGACAGGAGAAAAGGGGAGAAGAAAGAAAAAAGAAAGAAGAAGAAGAAGAAAGAAAGAAAAAAAGAAAGAAAAGAAAAGAAGAAGGAAATAATTTTTTTTTTTCGTGCTCCCTTTAAGCCACGGTGAGAAGAAAGGAATTTTTTTTTTTGCGTATTAGAAGATATTTCCTTCCCCCCTTTTTTTATTTAAAAATTCTTTTCTTTAATTTTTTTATTAGTTTCTCTTTTTTTTATTTGATTTTTTTTTAATTTTTTTAAATCCTTACCTGTCCCGCAAAAGTGACGCGGACACGTCATGAAGGCAAGAACCCCTTTTGACGATTCTAATCGTGAGCTTTCCGTTCGTCATGACGCGGGCACGTCAAGAGGACAAGAGAGCTCTCTGACCGTGAGCTCTTCCTGCGACATGACGCGGGCGCGTCGAGTCAGATAGACACCTACAACTCACCAAAAACGAAAATTGAAATCCGAAATCAGTCAAATTCATGGAAAACATATTTAAACTATCACACAAAATCAAACAAACAATTAAAAGAAACAATTGGACTGCCTCCCAATGAGCGCCTTTCTTTAATGTCTTTGGCTAGACATTGAACACCACTCTTCAATCTGGGTGTAACTCAATTTTCCTGAAAATCAGTGGCCCTCCTCCAGGATCCAAATAGCCTTTGAGTGCAGCCTTCTTTCTTAATTTTCTACTTCTTTTCACCTCATACAGTGCTTTCATCCCCTTATACTTGTTCTCAGTAAGTTTGAATTTATCCCTACAAGCAAATTCAGAAAATTCTTGCACAGATGGATTAATAGCATGAATAGCAAACACATGGTGAGAGTTAACAGGATGTTCCATTGTATCGAAAATATTAAAGTGGACTAGTTCTCCATCAAATTCCATGGACAATGTACCCTTATTAACGTCAATTTTTGTCTGTGCTGTGCTCAAAAAGGGTCTACCTAGTAGCAAAGGTGAGGGGTCAGGGGAATGATCATCATCCATGTCAAGTACATAAAAGTCAGCCGGGAATATTAATTCATTAACTTTAACCAGCACATCCTCGACCAACCCATCAGGGTATGCATTTGTTCGGTCAGCTAATTGAATTATTATCTCGGTTTCTTTTAATGGACAGAGATTCAGAGAAGCATACATAGATTTTGGTATTACGTTGATCGATGCTCCTAAGTCCAGCAAGGTATTTCTAATCAGAGTATTACCTATCTTGCATGGGACAGTAAACCTACCTGGATCCCCACACTTTGGTGGTAGCTTTCTTTGGAGAACTGCTGACACATTCTCCCCAACAATAACTCTTTCATCTCCCCTCAGCCTCCTTCGATTGACACATAGGTCCCTCAGAAATTTTGCATACTTCGGCACTTGCTTGATGGCGTCTAGTAGGGGGATATTGATCTCTACCTTGCGAAACACCTCTAGGATCTCTTTCTCCTTGTCCTGCTTCTTCGATTTTCCAACCTGCAAGGAAATGGAGGGGGATTAGTTTTAACTGTAATTACTGGGTCTGGAAGTACCTTTAGATCTGCACCATTGCTGTCCTCCCTCTCAAGTTCATTTTCGATCTTTTCCTCATCCTTATCCTTAGGGATCATAGGTTCAGGCCCCTGAATTTCCTTCCCGCTCCTTAAAGTCATTGCGCTTACGTTCTTTAGGTTCAGTTCAGGTTGGGATGGCAATCTTCCATTTACTTGGGACTCCAAACGGTTGATTTTTGTGGCCATTTGACTCATCTGATTTCTTATTGCCTGCATTTCGGAGTTCGTCCTTTGCTGATTTTGTGTAATGGTTGCTTCCGTCCTTTGCTGATTTTGTGTAATGGTTGTCATCATCTGTTTCATCATCTCCTCCAAAGATGGACTAGAGCTTGGGGACGGAGGTGGTCGGGGTTGGTATTGCTGCTGGTACACTGGTTGCTTATTTAGTACGAAATTGGACTGCCTGTTCCTTCCATAACTGAGGTTGGGGTGGTCCCTCCAACCAGCATTGTAGGTGTTCGAATATGGGTCATATTGATTCCTTGGCGCGGGCGCGTAACCAGCCATGTTTACTTGCTCCACATTTTTTTCTTGAATCATTGGGCACATGTCTGTTGAATGACCCATACCAGGGCAAATCCCGCACGCCTTGGCCTGAGATGCATTTCCTACAGCCAGTTGCCTAACAAACGAGGTCAACTCAGTTAGCTGCTGCTGGATAGAGGATGTCTCTACCTCATTCACCTTGCGTATTGGGACATCCTCCCTCGTACCGAATTGTTGTGAATTCTCTGTCATCCCCTCTATTAACTCCCTTGCTTCTCGAGGGGTTTTGTTCACCAGTGCCCCTCCACTTGCAGCATCAATTATGCTCCTGTCTCTGAAAAGGAGCCCCTCATAAAAATACTGTATGAGCAACTGCTCGCTTATCTGGTGCTGGGGGCACTTATGGCACAACTTCTTGAATCGCTCCCAGTACTCATAGAGTGACTCCTCTAGGTGCTGCTTAATCTCGCAAATTTCTTTCCTTAGACTTGCAGCCCTGGATGCAGGAAAATATTTCTCTAGAAATTTTCTCTGCAACTGATCCCACGTGGTAATGCTATCTGGTGGCAGGTAGTATAACCAATCCTTTGCAGAGTCTTTCAATGAGAAAGGGAATGCCCGCATTTTTTTTTTTGCTCTTCTGAGATTCTCGGGGGCTTCATACTGTTGCACACGACATCAAATTCCTGCAGATGCTTATACGACTCTTCACCTGATAAACCATGAAAAGAGGGTAAAAGCTGAATCAGACCAGATTTTAGTTCAAATAGAGTGTTATTATTTAAGGTGGGGAAGGTAATGCATAAAGGCTGCTGATTTAAATTAGGGGCAACCAACTCCCTTAATGTTCGTGCATTAGCCATGGTTCCTTACTCCTAGTCAGAGTCACTTGAAGTGTCACCAAACGAATCTGTTGGGTCAACTCCTGGCTCAGGTCTCTGAGATGTAGCACTGGAGTGCTCCTCTCTGAGCTGTCTGGTTTCCTTTCTCGTTCTACGCGCGATCTTCTCTACCTCAGGGTCAAAAATCAAATCACCTGTACGAGAAGATCGAGGCATACACTAGAAGAAAACCAGAAAATTAGGACAAAAAAAATGAATTTAAAAAGAAACAAATAATAACGCCAGTCCCCGGCAACGGCGCCAAAAATTGACAGGTTGTCAGCCTGTGCAATAATAAAAACCTGCTCAAACTAAAAGTAAATTTCTATAGATAGTGGTAAGCAGGGTCGAATCCACACGGACTGGGAGTACTTGTTCCTTTCCAAATTCACAGTGACAAGGGGGTATTTTTATATCAGGTGTAAAATTTAAACAATTCAACTAAAAGTAAAATAATAAAAATAAAATAGCCAACTAGAAATTAAATAACAATTTACTAAAATCAAATGAGTGATAATTAAGGATCTAGCCAAGGAATAACTTCAGCAATGGTGCACCTAATTGATCATTGAAGTAAAGGCAATTCCAATTATTTATCAATAAATAAGTTATAACTACCAAACAAGCGATGACAGTCAACCCCTCCTTACTGTGTCGGTGATCAAGGTACGCCCGTTAATCACTGCCCTAATTGAGAAATAATCCTAGGTACGTTCGTAGAATTTAATTCCCCAATTGCCTTACGTATTAGAGGAGCTCTATTCTAACCAAATAACGCACTACCAGGGTTATTTTAGATTAGCCCGCGTATTCTCCTGATACAAACCCAATCATGCTAGTTATCACTATTTTGAGACAATTAAACAATTACGGATTTAACGTCCCAATTGACAATAGATTATCCAATTAACTAATTATCCGGATCCAAGACAATCAATCAACTAAATAATCATAAGCACTGTAACCAGGGAATATGCGAATACCAATAAATAAAAGGAAAATATTAAATTAAATCGATCTCACAATTTTTAGGCGAACCAGAGCCTTCGTTGCTCCTTGACTAGAGTGGTGCAATTAGTTCATGTTCGATGAACAAAGCCCATACAAAAGTGGAAAGAAAGCAGCGGCCATCTCCCTAATTGAGAAAAGTTCAAACCGTTCAATTGGCGAAGGAAAACGTAAAATACAGAAGATGACGAAGTCCTCCAATGGCTCCTGACATGCGTAGGAGGAATCCACTAAAAATCAAAAGGAGAAAGTCCCAAAACAAAAGCTAAGTAAAAGGTTCTAATTGCGCCTGACATACCAAAAGATATAGCTACTATATAGCTAGCCAGGAAAAGTCAACCAAAAACTAAGTTAAGTTTTCTTTTGCTCCTGCCATGCCCGCAGGAGGTTTCTTACTCAAAGGCCTCAAAGGAAAAAATCTAATGCTAAGCTCCGAACTGCCCTTTTATTCTGCACAATTTTCCTCTATATAGTCCTGCTCCTTGCGGCGGCTCCTAGGGAAAAGAACCCTTGGCCAAAATGATCGAAAAGGGCTTGTGTCCCTTTTTTCCAAAAATGCCCTTGCAAGCCTTCTATTTTATTTCTTTCCCAATGACTGTCAAAATAGCAGTGATTGTGGTATTTTTGATCTACTCCCTGAAATAAGTGCAAATTACGAAAAGTGAGTAGAATCCATCAATTAATCCACATCAGGTCAGGTAATAGGGGAAATTAATAATAAAATAAATAGTAAAATTGCAGCCTATCTTAGTCGATCTTGGATCTGTTCATGTCCTTTTTTAGGTCTATTTATAGTATAGTTTAGGAGTAGATAAAATGAGTTATTTTTAAAGCAATAAAAACCCATTTCATTTGATGAGGATGTGGCAAGGTGATGAACTGACAAACAGTTTACCATCCACACGAAAGATGGGACTTCTTTCCACCTTATTTGTTTCCACATCATATTTTTCCTTCTTTTATTTAGTTGATATTGACAATTACTCAATAATGCATATTCAAATACTCAATCTAATAAAGTTGAAGGTAACATGCACACAATGGGCTTGTTTAGATATGGATTATTTGTAAAAAATTATAGTTGCATTATAAATATGTTTTTAATCACATTTTTATCTCTTGAACTACCTTTTTTCTTACATATATTACATCACAAAAAGTATTATAGCATTAAAATCTTATTTGAATAAATAAATATTTTACTTTGACTGTATAGATGTACATCCCCCTACTTTTAAACTGAACACACTTTGAGATTTGCTTCTAGCATGCAACAGCAAAAGGATAATTTTGTTTATTTTTCATTCCTGTGACACGTAATGTGAAGAACGTCTCATGCGAAATTTTTTTATTCTATTCTTGTAAGTCTATTCTTTGTTGCGAATATTTTCTCACCAATTTTTGTGGCTTCACCAGTCTATTTCTTAGATTTTCCTCAACCACTTGATCAGCATATACTTTATGAAAACTCTTTTGGACTGATTATTTATTTAATACCACAAATGATCATCCATTTCAAGAAATGAAGCACTATCATCCAGGCATGGAGATATGTTTCTTTTCGTCATTCTTTCTCGCTTGACTTTTCCTGAGAGTAGAGATTTGTATTTTCTATTTTTCCTTGTAGTTTTAGTTTCAAATTTTTGCTTCAGAGGAAAAAAATGAGCAACAATTAAGAACATATTACAATAATCAAAAGATCTAACTAAGGGTCTGTTTGATAACATAAAAAAGTGCTGAATCTGAATTTTTCAGACATTCAGATGTTTTGAGTGTTTGATAAATGAAAATCCATTTGCTGAACTTGTTAAGTAGTGTTGAACTTGTGTGTATTTTTTTCAGCATAAGAATCCTAACATAATGCTTAATTCTAATAAGAATTAATAGAATTACTTCAATTTCCTTATCTTATCTTCCAAATCTACCATTGTTTGTTAATTATGTTTAAAATTCTTATCTAATTAAACAATCTAATATTCTCTATCTAATGATTTTCTATTTCTTTTTTTCCCCTTTTGAATGATTTTCACATTTTCTCCATACTCCTTATATAATATATTTCATCTTTTATATTAATTTGATTTTAAAATATACATTATCATTTTCATACCTAACATTTTTAACTAATTAAATCATAGGTTCTATTTCTTTTTTGGATAAAAAAAATATAAGGGCAAATTTGTCAAATTTAACTTATCAAGCATTCAGTTATAAATGTTTATCAAACAGTATAAATAGATTTAACATTAAAATTCAAACATTCATATATTTCTTTTCAGTACTTAAAATTCAGCAAATTAATTGTTTCAGTATTCAGATTTCAGAATTCAAATTTCAGAATTCAGATTCAGTTTTACCGAACGGAACCTAAGTGAACTAAAAAGCGGCAAATTGTAATGACTAAATTACCCAAAAATTGATAAACAAATTAAAAAAGACTTTTGTTAGTAAAGAAGAGAGAGAAGGGCCAAATCAGAAGTCCATTCTTTCACTATTTCAACCAGGAGCGTCAAATTTGGCTTCCAAAAGCATAGACGTATTGCCTTTGACTAAAATGAATAAGATATTCAGGTTCCTGATTCTCTCTCCCTCTCTCGCTTTTTTTTCTGCTAATCTTCTCGAACTATGACAATATAATTTGATAAGCGTCCAGCTAATCCAGATTCAGCTTTGAGGGTCGCTAAGACATATGTATAACACGTAATTATTACCAAAAATAGTGGCAGAGAGCTTTCCCTCCAGCTAATCCACATTCAAATATATCCTCACTTGCAGCTTAATTGATTAATTACTTTGTAATTAAACCTCTGCAACTTTTTGTTCCTAACTTTAATGTCAATTCAACTTTTTGTTACTACTACAAGTCTACAAGTCAATAAGAAACAACAACACGAGTCAGCGACAGAAGAATTTTAAGAATTATTTATTATACACAAAAAAATACTTTTCAGAGGAAGAAAATATCTAGTTGCAGGTCTCCTCTGCAAGACTGTAGTGAAACTGCTCTTTCACTCCGACAACGACGTCGCGGCACGGCTGTTTGTCTATAATTCAACAGGGACGTAAGAAAGCAATGAAGGTCATCCACGACATCTTTGAGAAGAAGCGTTCGGGCAATGATGGAGCTACGAATGACTATGACTTTGCGGACCATTTACTTGAGCAAATAAAGAAAGAAGACACTTTTTTGAATGAAGAAATTGCGAGGGACCTGGTATTTTTGTTTCTATTTGCTGCCCATGAAACGACTTCAACAGCTTTGACTGTGGCCTTGAGGTATCTAGATGGCCATCCACGTGTTATGGCAGAACTAAAGGTCCATGACTTTCCGAAACAATTTCTCCCGTTGTTATCTGTATTTACCCTTTAATTCTCCAATTCTTGTGCAAGTTCAATACTTAAATGATTAATATTTTATATTTATTGACGGTATACATTGTTATGATTAGATGTTTACACTAACAAAATATGAAATATTACTTCATATTTAAATAGTCATTCATTTTTGTAGAGAGAACATGAAAATATTCTTAAAATGCGAGAAACAGAAGATTCTAATATTTCATGGAAAGAGTACAAGTCTATGACTTTCACACACATGGTAAGTTCCAATTAACCAGACATTTCATTGTATCTATCATTTGAATCATATAGTGAGCTAGACCATTTACATCTTAGGTTTTGTTGTCTACTGTAGGTTATAAATGAAACACTTAGGCTTGCAAATATTACTCCTGGGATTTTGCGCAAAGTTGTCAAGGAAGTTGAAGTAAAAGGTATGCTTCAATATGTCATTTGGCATCTTCTTGAAAATCATTTGTCACACTTTCTTTATTTTGGACCAGTGATACCTTTCTCCTGCAGGAAAAAAGGAAAAAAAGAAAAAGAAAGAAAAACTCTCTTTAGTAACTACTTGGGTTGGGCATTTTTTCATGGGAGTAAAAATATAGAAAATAAATGATTTGTTTCCTTTGTTCTTCTTTTCCTCCATTATAACTTCCAGTTTTGACTAATAAGTCCGAATGATTTGCAGGGTATACAATTCCTGCTGGCTGGACGGTAATGGTTTGTCCATCATCTGTTCATTTGGATCCTAATGTATATGAAAACCCCCATGAATATAACCCATGGCGATGGGAGGTAATTTGATCATCGACAGATTTGAGTAATATATGCACACAAGAAAGATAAACTTACAAAACAAAAGTTAAACAAAATCAAGTAAAAATGATTCAGGGTTTTCTGCTGTTTTTTCAATCAAAAGGGCAAAGAATTACACGCGGGATCAAAAAAATTCATGGCATTTGCTGGCGGTACGAGGCTTTGCGTTGGTGCTGACTAGGCAAAGGTGCAGATGTCAATTTTCTGCATTCCTTGGTCACAAAATACACGTAAGGATTTCCAAATCACAATCCTCACCGTCTTCGCTTAAATACATATAGAAGAAGCTAATTCCTATATAGTATAAATTGATGTCCACTTAACTTCTTCGGTTATTGCAAGAAGAAAGTGATAACTGATCAAAAAGCTTGTCTAATTTGAACTTTCAGCTGGAGAGTTACCAACGGAGCAGAGAGAATTCGGACACCTACTGGTATTCGTTTCTCCAAGGGATTGAATATTGAGATTTCAGAGAACAAATAGATTTTAAGCCGGACATGCACGAATAAAGCTTGTACTTTCAGAAGCGTATTTATGATGCAGTAATTTACTGTCATATAGTAATTTTACCTTCCAGCTGAGTTGTAATATTGTAAGTATCCTAATAAACAACATTTTAAGTGGTGTCTTTCTTGACATTATTGTAATTGTTGAAGATGTTATAATAGTTGCAGTTTGAGCTTCGACTAATTGTTTTTCTTCACCAAAATCAATACAATGATCTTATTTATGAGGACAAATCAAGCCAAGAATATGCAGTAAGTATTGCTCCTTCCATCTTATAAAGTTTGCCGCACTTGAAGAATTGCAATTTTTATTAATAGTGGATAGAATTTGAAACTTCATTTGTAGTTTCTAGCTCATAAAGAATTGTGGGGCCATGATATTTGTTTAATCCTAGGTTTTGTTGAAAATCTTAGATATTTGAAAGTTTTACCAAATCTTAGATTGTTGTTGTGGTCTTAATTACTTGATAACTGCTACATACTACAACAGTTGTTGTTTTACTTTCTTGATAATAGTATGTGGACTCATAAAAAAAAATACATGCATTGAACTTTTACGGAGTGTCTGAGGAGTAGATGACTAAATGGAGAAATTAAATAGAAATGTATCAACTAATTTATTGACAAAGAATGGTAATCTTATTCATTGAAAAACCCATTGTTTTCTCTTGTACAATCGAAAGCTTATATATAGAATTAGTAGCAGACTATAGGCTAAGTAGTAGACTCCTAGGCGGATTTGGGGCAGGGACGATCATCAGTATGACCATCCCTGCACGGTTAAGGGCCAAGATTTGCCCTCAAAATTTTGTGCGGCTGAGATTACACCATGTAACTCGATTTCCGCGCCAAGTGTGGGGCCCACCACTATCTGTTCTGAAAATACATCCTGTGAAAAAAAAGTTACATCGTGTTTAACCAATGTTACGCGCAGTGCAAAATGAGGACAACCGGCACAAACAGTTGCAGGTGCAACCGTTTGTGCCCCATATCCACTCCTAGGCTGACTACTATTCTAACTAGTAGACTCCTAGGCTGACTACTAGTCTAAGTAGTAGACCACAAAGACTACAAAGACTAGTTCGGATGGTATACGCTAACAGCTCCCCTCAAGCTGGAGTGTGGAGGAACGAAACACCAAGCTTGCGCAACAATCGTTGAAAAGAACTAAAACCAAGCGCTTTGGTGAACAAGTCAGCAGGTTGATCCTCTGAAAGAATGAAATGGGTACAAAGCTCATTGGACTGAATCCGTTCACGAACAAAGTGACAATCCATTTCAATATATTTGGTGCGCTCGTGGAAGACAGGATTAGCAGCAATATGGAGTGCAGCTTGGTTGTCACAAAACAGATGCATCGGCTGCGAATGAGGAATGGTGAGATCAAATAATAAAGCCCGTAACCATAACAATTCACTAGTGGTACCAGCCATGGCACGATATTCGGCCTCAGTAGACGAGCGGCTCACAGTAGGTTGTTTCTTAGTACGCCAGGATATAGGCGTGTGCCCAAGAGAAATATAATAACCTGTGATAGAGCGTCGCGTCGTAGGACATGCACCCCAATCAGCATCACAAAAACCCGTGAGTTGCAAATTGTTCTGAGAAGGAAAAAATAATCCCTGGCCTAGAGAATTCTTAATATATCGAAAAACCTTCATTGCTGCATCATGACGATCTAATGTAGGGGAATGCATGTACTGACTCAAAATATTAACAGCATACAGAATATCTGGACGTGTGATAGTGAGGTACAAAAGTCGACCCACAAGACGACGATAAAACGAGGGATCAGCCAAGGGTGTACTGGTTGAACGCCCCAATTGATGTTGTTGAGACATTGGAATCAAACTGGGTTTTGCACCACTAAGACCAATATCCGTTAAAATATCTAGAGCATATTTCCGCTGACTCAAAAAAATTCCTTCAAGATTCCTAGCAACTTCAAGGCCGAGAAAGAATTTAAGGGGGCCAAGATCCTTCAGATGGAACTGTCCATGCAAGAATTGTTTAAATTTTTGGCATTGAAAGGAATCATTTCCTGTAATTATCATATCATCGACATACACCAAAACTGCAAGAAAACTGGTATTAGTCTTCAGGGTAAATAAAGTAGTATATGCTTGAGACTGAATAAAACCATATTGTTTGAGGGCAAGAGTTAATTTAGAAAACCACTCCCTGGATGCTTGTTTAAGACCATAGAGAGATTTACGAAGTCGACAAACCCTCTTGTCACCAGATGGTAAATATCCAGGGGGAGGGATCATGTATATTTCCTCATCTAAATCACCATGGAGAAAAGCATTATTCACATCAAGTTGATGTAATTCCCAACTTTTAGCCGCAGCAACAGCCATTAGACACCGTACTGTAGTTAGCTTTGCTACAGGAGAGAATGTTTTAGTGTAATCCAGTCCCTCCTCTTGAGTATATCCTTTGGCCACTAACCGAGCTTTATAACGCTCCACAGTGCCATCTGATTTATATTTAATTTTATACACCCATTTACAACCAACTGTTTTCTTTCCTGTCGGCAAGAATGCAAGATCCCATGTATGATTTGCAGCTAAGGCATCAAGTTCAATTTGCATGGCATACCTCCACCTTTCATCTTGACTAGCCTCAGAGTAAGTAGAAGGCTCAGTCTCGGTTAATAAAGCCGTAAGAAAAGCTTGATGGGATGGAGAAAAGCGATGATTGGAGAGATAAGAATTAAGAGGATAGGGAGTACCTGATGCTCTGGAAGTGGAAACTGAATTGGAGTGGTAGGAACTATTAGGGTAATCACATACATAGTCTTTTAGATAAGCAGGAGGTCTTCGAATCCGCTGTTCTTGATGTGGTGGAGAAGTTGGAATCTCTTCAACACGATTATCCGTAGCAGAGAGCTCATGATTGGGAATTGAGGGAAGAGTGGCATCGGAATAATGGATTTCAGGACCATATTGATCATCATCATCAAGAACGGGTGAGGGAGTGTTAGGTGTTAAGGTGGAAGGCAGCGTCGAAGATGATGTGCTAGAAGGAATTTTGAAGGGAGAAAAGGTTTCATGAAAGCGTACATCACGAGAAAAGAAAAATCTTTTTGTTTCTAAATCATAAACTTTGAAACCCTTTTTATTTTGAGGATAGCCTACAAACACACAAGGCCTTGACCTGGGTTGAAACTTGTCCAAAAGTTGTAGAGGATTAACAGCATAACACAAACAGCCAAATACTCTAAAATGATTATATGTTGGTGGCTTGCCAAAAAGTGCTTCAAAAGGGGTTTTACTTCCAAGTGCTGATGTGGGAAGTCGATTGAGAATATATGTAGCAGTTAAAACACATTCTCCCTAGAATTTAATGGGCAAGTTACTCTGAAATCTAAGAGCACGAGCCATATTAAGAATGTCTCTATGTTTTCTTGCGACAACCCCATTTTGCTGAGGTGTACCAGCACAAGAAGTTTGATTAACAATCCCTTTACTTCTAAAGAATAATTTCATGTCACCTTCAGTGAGTTCTAGTGCATTATCGCTTCTGACTTGCTTAATTTGAAATCCAAATTGAGTTTGAATCAAAGAATAAAAATTTTGAAAAACGTGGCAAGCTTCATTCTTGTGTTTTAATAAATATGTCCAAACTGTTCTCGTACAATCATCCACAAGAGTTAAGAAAAAATGAGCCCCAGAACTTGAAGGTGTTTGATAGGGTCCCCATATATCGATATGAACCAAATTAAAAGGAGTCACAGATTTATGAATGCTTGAAGAAAAAACTTGTCTAGAAGCCTTTGCCAAAGGACACACAGTGCATTCTTGGCAAATTTGATCAAAACGAATATGAGAAAAGTTGGGTATTGACGCCAACCGGTTGTGTGAAGGATGTTCGAGCCTTTGATGCCAGAGAACAGCAGATCCTGCGACCGTATTAGCTTTGCCATGATGTGGTTCATCATAGTCTGTGGTGAAGTAGTAAAGACCGTCCCGTTCCTTACCTACCCCAATCAGTTTCCTCGAGCGTAGGTCCTGGACAACACAAAAATCAGGAAAAAATAAGGCAACACAATTGTGTTCTTTGGTGAGACGACTGACAGAAATAAGATTACAATGAAAACTCGGAGCATGCAAAATGTTATGCAAAGTAATCAGGGAGTTCAAATGATGACTACCATATTCGCAGAGTTGTTTCACAGTGACATCAGGTAGAAATATATTAGCAAATTTTTTTGATTTAACTAGGTCAAACAAAAAAGTTTTATCACTTATAAAGTGATGAGTAGCACCTGTGTCTAGTAACCAAGTGCAACAAGAGGACGAGGAATTTGGAGTTAAAGGATGGGTTACGTTACCAGCAAAATTAACCGAGCCAGAGCCAGAGCCAGAGTTTTTGTCACTATTCAACAATGACAAAAGTTGTTCATACTGTGTGGCTGTCAAACCATTAACCGAAGTAGTGGAAATTGAAGAAT